GAGCCACAACTACTGAGCTCACGTGCCACAACTACTGAAGCCTGCGTGCCTAGAGCCCGTGCTCTGCAACAAGAGAAGCCACGACAATGAGAAGCCTGCACGCCGCAGTGAAGAGTAGCCCCCGCTCACTGCAACTAGAGAAAGCCCACACGCAGCAAAGAAGACCCAACACAACCAAAAATAAATAAATTAATTTAAAAAAATAATAAAACCAGGTTGAGACCTTGGACCAAAGGTGGGGGGAGGGGAGGGGGAGGGGAGGGGGAGGGGGGGGGAGGGGGAGGGGGGGGGAGGGGGGAGGGGAGGGGGAGGGGCATAAAAAGAATTTGAACTAGTGGAAAGAGCACTAGCTTTGGAATCAGACAAATCTGACTTCAACTCAGACTTCCTGTCAGGCAATCCTTGGATAAGAATTCTAAGGAGAAGAGGCTTTAGGAAGGTTGATATGATGAAGTGCGAAGCATGGGGAGAACTCAATTACAGAGAGACGGTATGTAGCAGATTACAATCATCCTAGAATGGGGATGGCCGAGGGCCTGGGCTATCGGGGTGTGGGGAGTGAGGAATGCCAAGGAAATGTGGGAGCTGGCTCGGAAAAACTCTTACAAAGGAAGAGATAACAGGACTTGGGGCCCGATTTTACTACTGGAATGAACGAGAAAGAGAAGAGTCAGGGGTGGTTCCTAGGTCTCCAGTCTGGGTGATGAAGAGAACGCTAACAGTATGAAGAAAAGAAAGGTCTTTACAGTGTGAAAGGAAGAGGTTTAGCAGAGGATATAAAAAGTTGATAGGCATGCAGCCGTTGGCCTAACAACAGGACATCAACCATGAAAACTATTAAACAGGTGCATAAATGAGAATAGAGTTTGTGTCAGGACTAGAGAGAAAGATTTGTATGTATAAGGGTAAATAACACCATCACATTTAAGAATATTTTTATTAGAAAATAAGAACTCTAGCTGTTAAACAAAAATAATGGGAAGGATATAAATAGTAGAGAGAAATGCATCCTCACAGACTATTTTTCTTAGCTATGGTACTTAGGGGATCCTATCCATTATCACAACACTGAACGAATAAACTTCTATAGAAATTCAACATATGGCCTATTTACATAACAAGCATCACAACTCCAAATTAGCCATTTTGATGTGTCCAGGAAATAACACCTTCATAGCAGACTACTTCAAAAAAATGGAAGAAAAAAGAAAGGTTTGTTTTTCTTCTAGAATTATGTGTACCGGGTTTTTAACTGTTTGTATCGTGAAAATCACATTTCAATTGTGTGATTACACTCTAAGACAGAACAGTGATGGAATGAATTGATTGGCTGAATTATGCACGATCATTCAGAGATCAATAAACAGACTCCATCACTTAAATCTGCCCATATTATGTATCTGCCCTCATGTCCTATGTCATGCTTGTGAAAGCAACTGTTCTGTGTACAAAAACTATAACAGCCATCTGATTCAATTATCACAGTCAAATAACAGTAAAGGGTCTACAGAAGATGCCTGGGAAAGAAGCACAAGGGAGCAGTGAGTAAGCAGTATCTGTCTAATCCAAAACCCACTCCACTCTAATCAGATGGCGAGACAGGTGGTAGCAGCTTAGATCTTACCGTGAGCAACCTCAACTTCTTCCATTTATCAAACTGTAACCAAAAGTTCTTGTCCTGCCTCATGAGACACTGATTAAAGCTGTGTAAAGGTAAACAGGATGAAGACCACCTAGGTGCCTTCAACACAAAAGCCATAAATGAATGTTCACTGATGACAACAGCACAACTCTATGATCAGAGGCTGAGAAACTGATAAAACTTAGAACCAAAAATGAAACGTTTCTAAAGCTTAACTTCTGATGGAAAGTATTTCCATTTGCACGGCAAAGCAGGTCTTTGAGACGCTTCCTATTGGCAGCGCATCAAAGACTGAAATGGTGTGGCCTAAGCATTTTCTTTTCCTGATCATTACAGCGGTTGGCCAAGCAGCCTCACAAGCCCACAGACACCTATCCCCACAAAGGCCACTTGAAAATCAGTGCAAGCACAGAAACAGTCAATTGAAGGCTTTCATTATGGGGCTCCCTAAAACAAAACGAATACAAAAGGAGTCTTGATCATTTTGCCTAAGTACTTTAAACTAAGTTGATTCCTAGAAAAACTATTTAATATTTTCAGAGGCAAGGATTAAAGAAAGAAAGAAAATTTCCAATTAATATACTCCTTCCCCAGATGTTGAGGTTTTTTTACTATCCTCTGAAATATTCCCTGCATTCAAGTGATTGTATTTTTATGCAAATTATCCTTTGGAGCTAGTCGTGTGTGTGTGTGTGTGTGTGTGTGTGTGTGTGTGTTTAAAGCCACACAAAGAATCGGACATATTTTTTGTTCTGCTGCCCCATAAAATAGGTTTTAACAAAGCTTGAGTTTAATCCAAAACTCTAATTAGAGACTGCAGCAGTATTTGCCTTGTCCAAATAGAAAATCATTCCCAAAGTTGATTTTTCCCCACTTAGAGCTCCAACAAATATTTTCATACACAGATTTTTTAAAAAACACTATAATTAAAAAAAAAAAACCACTACAATTACTTGATAAAAACTGCCCCCACCCATACAACACACTGCTTTCTGGTTGATACAATTTGATAAGGCCAATCAAATACTTTATCCAGAAGGCAACTGTAGACTTCACTTTCAGAGTATCTTTCAAAGTCACTGTACTTGTTACTTGAATATTCTTTTCTTTCTTTTCCAGAATGAAGCAATTTCTGACTTCCTGTCCCTTCTTTTCCCTGCCATATTGCACATCTGCTTTATCTCTAGAAAACAAAATCAATCATAATGGCAATGAATCGTTCCTTGAAGACAAACTAAACCGGTCATAAAGGTTACACGACCTTACTCTTTTAAATACTGGCATAAAGCTTCTTCCTCTGCATAGGTTCTAAAATTTCAGAGTCGTTTTTTTTTCTTACTTGCAAGACGATTGGTAAAAGTTTTCAATATAATATTTCTTTAAATGTAAATAAGTGAAAAATATTACACATAATATTTTATGTAAAGAAAGAGACTGTTTGAAGTTCAAGGTTTTTCACTAGCTCTCAACCTACAGATTCTGTAATACACTCAAAGGAAAATGCTGCACAGAAAGAATCTTTACATGTCAGGTCTCCAAAACCTTGGCATCTGCTAAAACCTGGACTGCTGGGAATTGAAGGCTCAGGAAGTTCACAAACACACACACCAAACCCCCAAGAGGTGGAAACCTCCAGTTGAGAAGATGGGAGGTTTCAGTCGCATCCCCGTCCAGGTAAAGTCTCAGCCCTTCACCTCCTACGTCTGCAGTAAGTATTAACCGCCGAACAGAGTGGGAGAGAGCGGGGCCGATCTTCCAAGACTCGGAAAAGTCGAGCATGTAGGGAGAGCGGGAAGACCCTCTCGCATCTCCGGAGCCACCGCTGTCTTGGGCTTGGGCCGCTGTCGGCCGACTCCGGGTCCGCCCGCTCAGACGCGGCAGCGCGACCGCTTCGTCCCGCGGCCGGGTCGCTCGGCATCTACTCCTGTCACGCCGCGGGCAACTGCGGCGACTTTGCCGGCACCGGGGGTCGCCGCATCCTACTCCCGCCTGGCGCCCAAGGGGCGCGGGTTTCCCCGGACCCGCGGCCCCCCAGGCCGGGCGGCGATCAAGGGCGAGACGCTGCCGGCGGAGGCGGCTCGGAGCGGGAGGGGGTGGGTCTCCGTCCGCCGGGCGGGTGGAAGGGGACTCTAGCGCGGGGGAGGGCAGGCGAGGGACCGCGGCCGATTCAGATCCGGGGCGGGCGGGTCCACGTCGGAGCGCGGCGGCCACACGCTCGCCCCGGGCGCGCGAATTGCGCCGCACCCGGCGCCTCCTCCCGCCAGCCGGCTAGCTCGCCCGTGCCGGCCCGAGAAAGGAAGGACGGCGACCTCCGCGTCCGGTCCGCTCGGCCAGCCCGCTTCGGCGCCGAGCGGGGGGCCACACCCAGCGCCCCGGGAGGCGGCTGGGGCTGGGCGGCCCAGGCTGCGGATGGCGCGGCCCAGGCTCAGTCACCGTCCCGGCCGCGCAGGCCCCGCCGCGTCCGCCCGAGCCCCGCGTCCCGGCCCGGGCCCGGCGGGCTGGCGGGGAGAGGGTCCCGGGCGGCGGCGGCGGCCGGGGATCCCGGGCTTACCTCTGTGCCAAGCGCCGTCCGCTCCGTCCCGGGCCGGGGAACAGGGATCGGGGGCGCGGTCGCCGGTGGAGGCGCGGCGGCGGTGGCGGCCCCTGCGGCGCGGAGGGCGGGCGGAGCAGGAGCCGCTGCCTGGGCCGCGCGCCGTCCGGAGCTCGCCCCGCGCAGCCGGCGCTCGCGGCGGAGGGCGCAGCCGGTTCGGCCCCCGGGCTAGATTCCTTCACTGACACAACTCCGGGTCGGCCCGCTCCACGCAGGGACACTCCCGCCCCTCGTAGGCTGCCCCCGCCCGCCGGCCGGCCGGCCAGCCCGCCCCTCGGTGTCACTCACCCAGGCGCACACAGCCCGAGCCGGCGCCCCTCGCTCCCGCTCGCACACACAGCGCTGCTCACGCCTCTCTCGGGTTTTGTATCCGCTCACACGCACGTTCTGACACAGATCCCTTCCCTCCACACGCCCTCCCTAGCTCCTTTCCCACCCCACTTTCTAGAAGAATCCCCGTACAGCTTCCGCGCTTTGCCTGCCCCACACCAACCTCCTCGCCTTTCCCCGAACCGCCGCCTCACTTAAACTGCCACTGTTATTCAAAGGTTTTGCCACACCCCGCACGTGTTGCAGGAGAGACATCCTCCCGTACCCAGGAGAATGAACTTTGCTCCCCCCAGCACCGTCTACAAATGCAAGATGCTTTTATTTTTAGAAAGCACTGATGCTTTCTGGTGCTGAGCCAAGCTCAAAATGTAAACAAAGGTAGCCGATTCCGAAATGACCTGAAGAACCAGACGCGGTCCTGGGTTTGTTGGGTCTGACCTTAGAAACGCGGCTAACCGGGAGTATCCCGGCTCCTCCCTTTCGCTGCCTTTCAGGCTGGAGGACGGGTTGCTCTAAACGTGCGTGATAACGAAGTTCCAGATAGACACCGTGGGCACCAGCCCATGGATTTCTGCCTGGGAGTACAGTAGTCGGGAGAGTAAAGGCAGTTTCTCAATCATTATTCATGATGGAAGCACTTTAGATAACACACCTCTTCCAGAGGCAGTAGAGTGAAATGCAGGCATCTCTCCAGTTTTGTTTTGTTTTGTTTTTTCAGGGTGACTTAACCTCCTTTTTTCTCAATACCAATAACCGATTCTCAGCGGCTCCTTGGATGTCAAAGCCCCTTGCAAATACGCAGGCCGGAGTTACTTAACGCCTCTCGCGCTCCAAACTCTAAGGGGCCCCTGAGTGTACAGCAGAATGGTATATGATCCGATGTTTAGGAATTCATAATTTGAAATTAGATACAAACACCTTTCCGGTAAAGTTCAAATGTTCTAACATAGTGTGCCCCTGTGGACAAAGCACAGCCCTAATAAGGGATAAAGGAGCCGAAAGCCAAGGAACCTATTTTCTTTTGTGACTTGTGGTGGCGGTTCTTGTTGCACTGGATGGGTGTATGGATCATATAATTTATTTAAAAATATTTGTAAGTGCTTTATAAGTATTAACTTTTTTTGTTTTGTTTTGTTTTTTTTTTGCGGTACACGGGCCTCTCACCGCTGTGGCCTCTCCCGTTGCGGAGCACAGGCTCCGGACGCGCAGGCTCAGTGGCCATGGCCCACGGGCCCAGCCGCTCCGCGGCATGTGGGATCTTCCCGGACCGGGGCATGAACCCGTGTCCCCTGCATCGGCAGGCGGACTCCCAACCACTGCGCCACCAGGGAAGTCCAGTATTAACTTGTTTAATCCTTCAAACAGTTCAATCAGGTAGGTAGTATTTTTGAACTTTTTCTATAAAGAAACTGAGGCATGGAGAGGAGAAATGTTAGAGGGAGGGTTTGAACCTACACAATCTGGCCCCCCTATGCTACAGAAAGGAAAACCTGCTTCTAGAAGCCATATTACATGTAAATATAAAGGATAAACATCATATTGCTTATTGAATTAAGACGGAAAGGTAACTTGTAACAATTTGACTTGGAATTTGATGCACTTTTTAGGTCCTCTGGCAAAATAATTCACTTAAGTTTTGGGGAGTTTCTCCTCATAATTAGAATTCCAAAATGAGTAATAAATTATTGTTTTCCTAGGAAGGGCTTTGGAGAGAACATTGAACTCAGTCTTCATTCCTTTCTTCTACCACTTCATTACTTCCTAGGACTCCAAATCTAATTTGTTTAGTAAAGTCTGAAAGAAGAAAGCCTTCAAGACCTGAATATGACCAGAGGGAAGAAAGGGTTTTCAGAAGCCCATACATGGCCTTTTACCTTTAAGGGCTGTTTCCCAGTGAGTAGGTAGTAACCACAAGAATAACTGGTGTGTATATGGAGAGTGAAAATATTAAAGCATTGAATTTGATGAAAAATAAATAAATGGAGAATGGGTGTATAGTAGTAGCCACTGTACCACAAACTAGACTAAAACTAATTTTCTACTGGGAATGGAGTGGACGCCTAGTCCATGAAAAGACAATTATAAAGTAACTAAAGAAAATAATTACAACTTTCAAGGGTTATTAAGGGACCTAGCAAAAGAAATCAGACTTTTAAAAGTTTATACACAGTGAGTTTCAAATAAAACTTAAACCTTTTGCTGTTCAAATTAATCTACTCTTAGGAAAAAAAAAGTGAAAACTTTCTCGGAGAGAGGGTTTATTCAATAAGCATTTGAAAATTTCTTGGACATCAAATAACTAACAAAGCAGTATTTTGATGAGTCAAGCATAAGTGATTTTTTAAATATATGAATTACATTCCTATAATTACGTGGAGATATAAAAATCCAAAGAAATAAAATATGAAAAAGATATGTATTGGTGCTGACACCAGATATTGAGAATTTATTTGAAAAATTACGTTATTTGAAATTTTGATCAGAAGGTTATCTGTATAATGCTAACATGACTCTTTTTCAAAATGATTCTCTATGATTATAATCTGTGAATCTCATTTTACTATTTTCTAAGCTAAATGGAAAAGTGAAAGTCTTTTCTTCAGCAAACAAACAAGAATCGTTAAGAGTAGACATTTTCTGGGCTTCCCTGGTGGCACAGTGGTTGGGAGTCCGCCTGCCGATGCAGGGGACACGGGTTTGTGCCCTGGTCCCGGAGGATCCCACATGTCGCGGAGCGGCTGGGCCCGTGAACCATGGCCGCTGAGCCTGCGCGTCCGGAGCCTGTGCTCCGCAACGGGAGAGGCCACAACAGTGAGAGGCCCGTGTACCAAAGAAAAAAAAAAAGAAAAAGAGTAGACATTTTCTGAGAGATGAACAGAGTATGTTAGTTTGTATATTATAATATTTCCATATAGGTATTTTTAATCTGTGTCTGCTGCTTTCCTCCATATTGTCACTTACACCCCTTATCTGATGTGCATAATTGTAAGCGTGGGGGAAAAATGCATATCCTGCAATGAGGCTGACCTTTTCCTTGAAAGATTTCAGCAAAATGCCATATTTCCTATTTTCCATCTCCTAGATTGTCCTGATTCTCTAGCCATGGCCATTCAGAGCAGGGTTCACATTCATGGAAGCAGCTCAGATCCCAGAAGCCAGTTTTAGGCCATGGTCAATTGTCTTTATCAGAATTTTGGCATCCGAGTAAGTATGGAGACAGAGAGTGATTTTTAGTTGCTAGGCTCCAGACCACTGACCGCTGGGCTCCAGGCCGCTATCCAGACCTACTGGAAGGCCTTTCATCTAGAGATCCTTGACTTTGACTAGGTGCAGGGACTGGGTACAATCTGAGGGATCTCCCTTTGGGAGGAGTTGAATGTGTTCTGTGTGTGTGAGTGTGGTGTTCATTAGAGCTGTTTACAAATATTCCAGCTCTGCTTTCTTCAAAGCATATGGTAGGTTTGTGTGTCCCCAGCATACTGAAGTACAGGGTAGCTCTGCAACTTGCTGCAGCCAATGAAATCAGCTCTGGGCAGAAGTTAACAGCTAGTGTGTGTTCTATTTTCCCCTGTAGCACTACAATCAGCAAGGTGCCTGGTGGTAGCTGCTCCGTTGGACTGCAGTGCATGATGATAAAGAGCAATGCCACCGCTGCTGACCTTCCCTTCCTGGACAGGAGTATGAGTGAGAAATAAACCTTGTTGTTTTAAACCACTGAGATTTAGGGGTTGTTTGTTTCTGCAGTATAATCTAGCCTATTCTGATTACAAGTAGGGAGGGAAAAAGAAACAAATAATTGCAGGGCATACTGTGGCAGAGAATGGCTAATAATTCCACAACTCTGTTTCTCTTTTCTCCCTGGTGCACAACTAATTCACATTTCTCAACCTCCTGTATAGTGAGGTGAGGCCATGTGACTGAACTGCGCCCAGTGTAATGTAGATGAAAGTTTTGTGCTCCACCTCCAGCCCCAACCGTGGAAAACCTCCTGCATGATCTCTCAGTCTCCATCTGCCATATGGAAACGAAGGGTTCTGAGACTCCAGAGTAGGAGTCAGCAAACTTTTTCTATAAAGGGCCATATGGTGAATATTTTAGGTTTTGTGGATCATGAGGTCTCTGTCATAACTATCTGCTGTTTTAAAGTAGTCATAAGCACTTTGTAAACAAATGGACATGGTTGTGTTCCAATAACGCTTTATTTACAAAAACAGGCAGTGGGTCTACGTGTCCTGGGGGTGGTAATTTGCTGACTCCTTACCTAGAGGAGGGTAGAAACACAGGATGGAGGGAGCCTGAATCTCTGAGTCACTCTATGGTATTTACTTGCTGAACACACACATTGAAATGTTATCTGAGTGAAAAAAGCAGCCTTCTGATGAGTTAAGCATAACTAATATGCTATCTTATTCCAGATTCCAGAAAAAATTCCAGATGGATTAATAATCTAAACAAAGAAAACTATAAAATGCTAAAAGAAAATGTAGGAAACTCTTTTACTGTATTGGTTGTCTTAATAAAACTAGTTAGAAATATCATGATAAAACCCCCAGAAACTATAACAGAAAAGATTAAACAGATTTGACCACAAAACAAATAAACTACCCAAACATTTCTATACAGTGACAGGTACCATAAACAATATTAACTAATGGGAGAAACTATATGCAACATATATACACAATAGGAAAGAGTTAATATGCAAAATAACAAATAGCTTTTAGAAATCAATACAAAAAAGAGAACCAGCAAAATAAGAAAACGAACGCAGGATATGAAGAGGTAATTTTTCAAAAGAAGGAATATGTGCCAATAAGCATATAGAAACATATTCAACCTCATCAACGATCAGAGTGTAAATAAGAACAAGACAGCATTTTTTACTTATGAGATTGGCAAAGAAGTGTTTTAATATAAGGTGTTTGTGAGTGTGTATAAAAACATAACAACTTTCATACTCAACTGACTATAGTATGAATTGATAAACATTTCTGGAAAGCAATTTGTAGTATCTGTAAATATTAAAAATGCATATATATTTTGACCATGCATTTCCACTACAAGTAGTCTCTCCTACAGAAATACTAAGTGTGCAGAAATATATTTACATGTATGTCTATATACATGTAAATACTATAATACAAATATTATAGTATTATTTGCAGGAGGAAAAAAGTTAGACTCCACCTCAACATTTATGAATAGAGGAACTGTTAAAAAAATGGAGTGTATGTACACTGTGGAATAGTAAATAACTGTTGAAAACCAGGGAGCTATGCATGTGTTGACATGGAATAGTGTTCATGATATATTTTTGTGTGATGAGAGCAAGTCAGAACAATATGTACAGTACGTGCTCTAAAAAGAGGGCAAGGAGGGTGGAAATCTATGTATCTTAAAGGATAGGCACACTGTTGACATTGGTAGCCGCTGGGGTAGGGCTTTTCCATTTTTAACTTTGTACACTTCTCTTTTTCCCTTTGTATATAATTTTTATAATTACAATTTCTTTAAAAGGTACAAGGACAGAAGTCAAGAGAGACTGAAAGAAAAGCCCATTGTGGACCCTGGCCAACGCCGAGAGGCTGAGAGATGGATGGGCAGAGGAACAAAGACTTGTTGAAGACCTGCTGAGGCAAATCCAAAGGCATGAGTCACTCCCGTGGCGTTCCAATGGCAGCAGATTGAGTGGTTATGATCTGGAACCAGGGGTTCTGCTTGGAAATTTTCCAGGAAAGAGGAAAACTTGGGGTGAGAAGAGAAAGGATAACCTTGCCGGCCTGAGGGCAAAACATGTTGGAAACACAAAAAACAAATGATGTCCCTTGGCTGAACTTTCTTAGTCTATACAGGTGCTAAATATTAGGTTATCTTTTCACGTCTTCAGATTTTTGTTTAAAACCTTCTCTTCTCAGGAGCTGAAATGAATATATACTT